CCCCAAAACCCCAAAACCCCAAAACCCCAAAACCCCAAAACCCCAAAACCCCGGATGGTGAATATATACTGGTTTAGAGAATTAAATAATTGAATATTAAATACTTAAAATGAGTTTAATGGATAAAAGGTTTCTAAAACAGATTAACTCTCAACTTGCTGCTTCTGCTTGTAAGTCAACTTCTTCATTATAATACAAATACTTCTGCAAATAACTTACAAATACCTTATAGAATAAGAAGTTAGAGATAGAGCTCTGCAATTGTTGATAAAAATTCTGATTCAAGAAAAGTAATGGATAAACGATCCAATCAAGGACTTGAGAGCGATCTGGGAAGGCTTGTTCTTTTGTAAGAATTACTCATCAGTCCCCAAGGCCATGTGTTTAATAATTACATATCTTGAATAGTATTCTGGCACTCAGACAAGCTCCAATATCAAAGAGACGTTGCAGAGAAGACGTCAAAAATATTCGCTGAATTAGGTAATACAGTAGGTGTTGAGAAGTAAAAGTTGTGGTTTGAGGCGTTTATTTACATCTTCAATTTGCATTGGGACAAGGTCGATAACTACAGAATAGACAAATATCTCATGTTCCTTAGATTCTAGATATTTGAAGTGTTGAGTATGCTTAAGAAAAACGAATATCCTAAAGAAGTAAGTGAAAGAACCATAGCTTGATAGCAGTCATTAATGAATTCATTTTATAGGATATGGAATGGTTCAAGTCTATTGTTCAAAATTTGTTCATGGAAGAAACTATCATTAGCAAGGGAATTCCACTACAAATTTGTGATATATTCCTCCAAGAACTTAATAGATCAGATTCTTTGAACATTTCACTTACTAACTTGGGCTCAATCTTAGAGCCTTTCCTATATGCTGTTGCTAACTGCAGAAACAAGATATTAGTTAATAGAATTGTTGAGAGAGTGCTAGAACCTCTGCTTGAAAATAATGTTACTGTTTAAGAAACATCAGATAGTGAAGAAGAGGAGGAGATTACTAATTATGATCCAAAGCTTGGCAAATATATAGATGGAGGTAAATTAAATCCAAAAACCTAAAGAGAGATATAAAAGATGATTGATCAGAAATTTGTTTTTCCTAGCTTTAATATTCTACTCTATGCTTAAGATCAAATCTTCAAATTCGCATCAGCAACTACTACTAGAGACGAAAACAGAGATTTACTTTACAGACTATATGATTAAGCATTGAAACTCGAGCCAGAACCAGCAAAGAAAGAACTTACTTTCTCTCAAAGAATGCTTATCAATCGCGCAAGAGCATTCATTACTAAGAAAATGGAGAGACGAATGCGCGTTCACTAATAGAAGAGAACTAAAAAGATGATGTATAAGCTAGGAAATCTAATTCAAACTTAGATCATGTCCTAATAATAATTAGATGAAATACGCGAGGAAGCCAATGATTTGAAGAATGGAGATGAGAGTAATATTTTGCATGGTTTCAATGAAAAGTAGCAACTAATAGATATACTTTAACAGCAACTAAATAAAAATGTACCTTAAGGATAGTAGATAAAGGTATTGAGCGTTGGAAGCGCAAATGGAGTAAATAATGGTTTGAATGGTCTAAACGGTCACAACAGTAAGAATGGGAATGAAAAAAATAATCAAATAAAGCAGTAATAGATAGAAGATCTAGACTTAAGTGATGAAGATTTAGTAATGAATATTGCTAGCAATGGATAGAAGAAAAATAAAAAGAAAAACAAAAAAAGAAATAGAGAACACATTGAACAGAAATCAGAGTCGAAAAATGAAAAAGAAAACAGCCAGCCAAAGAAAAGGGTAAAGTTTGATCTGGGGTAATCTAAGACAAGAGAATTCTTCTCATATGGTAAGGTATCAACATAAAAAATGCCAGACAGTAGAATTAGATCACCAAGCAAAGCAGCCATAAAATTAAAGAGTGCTTTAAATAAAAAGTGAAAATAACAGATAATGCCTGAATACTCTGCAGTAGACTCGTTTGACATTTAGCGCAATTAATTAAATACCGTATCATTTATATTTTCTGAAACTATGCCTAGTTGATTGCAATGAAAATAAACCAAGTGGGGTTTTGGGGTTTTGGGGTTTTGGGG